AGGCAGGGTGGCAGGCACTTTTAACTCCACCTACTCAGCAGGCTGAGGCCCAGGTAAGAGGATCACAAATTCAACTCAGCTCAGACAACTTAGTGAGATCTCATTTCAAAACGAAAAATGCCAAGAGCTGGCAGTGCAGCTGGGTGCAGAGGCCCCAGGTGCAGAGGTCCTGGCTCCAGCCACACCAAAACAAGAGGATGGACTAGGGAGGTGAAGGGGCAGGGCTGGGGAATCCACCATGCTGTCAGTACTGAGGCTCTAAGGAACTTTTTTTTTTTTTTTGATGGAACCGGGAATTGAACTCAGGCCATGGTGCCTGCCAGGGTAGCACTTATTTTACTGAGCCACCTCCCCAGCCCTGAGGAACATCTTTCCTTTACACATAGGTATTTTCCAAGTTTGGGGATTTTTTTTTAATAATGTATATTTTTATAATTAAATTTAAAAGCAACCAAAAAATACATAAATAAATAAAAAGTAACCAAAACATATGGAAAACTGACAGGTAACCACCAACAATGAAAGATGATTTCGGAACTCATATACAGATGGAAGACTCTTCTTTTTTATTTTTTTGTGGAACCAGGGATTGAACTCAGGCACATGGCAGGTGCTTATTCTACTGAGCTACCTCTCTGGCCAGGTAATTTGTGTGTGTGTGTGGTATTGGGGATTGAACTCAGGACCCCATGCTTGCCAGGCAAGTGCTTATTCTACTGAGCTACCTCTCTGGCCAGGTAATTTGTGTGTGTGTGTGGTATTGGGGATTGAACTCAGGACCCCATGCTTGCCAGGCAAGTGCTTATTCTACTGAGCTATCTCCCCAGCCCCACTGGTAGACTCTTTAGAAAAAAGTGAAAGCAAAAAAAAAAAAATTAAAGCATAAAATGGATTTTAGAAATAATTCTAAGGGACCAGGGAGATGGCTCAGTGGAATAAGCACTTCCCTGGCAAGTCCAAAGGCCTGAGTTCAATCCCCAATTCCGCAAAAAAAAAAAAAGAAAGAATTCTATTGCTTATTAAAAGTTTAAATACAGTTGTCCCATCACATATAGCTGTAAACATTAAAAACTTCTCCCTTCCTAACCAAGTTTTGCTTTTACTTTGTTTACAAAGACCTAAAACAAAAGTGAAGCCATGCCTATTTCTCAAAGAACACAGGATTATTACACCATGTCAAAGCTGCCAACACTCATCTGCAATGATCCCTTTCCCCACAATCCCCAATTCAGACCTTGATACACAACTCAACTAAAGCAAACATTGGATAAAATCATCTTAGCCAGATGGAGAACTGATTTTATACTTTATTGTGCAACTACTATAAATCAGCAAAATCAACGTTCACCCTCTGGCCCTTTCTTGTTTTTAGTACTTCTACAATTCTGTGTGCTTATCGCAAGGTTTCAAGAATTCTAGGGGCCTGGGATTTAGCTCAGTGGCACAGCACCTGCCAAGTGTGAGGTCATTTGATTCCCAGTACCCCCCAAAACATAATAATTCCAGAAATTCTGGGTATGCTGGCACATGCCTATAATCGCAACACTTGGAGAGGCTGAAGCAGGAGGATTACTTCAAGTTTGAGGACAGCCAGAGCTACTTAGCAAGGCTCTGTTTGAAAAAGAAAAAAACCACACACGCACGCACACAAATCCTTCAATGTCTACAAGGTAAATACTGTGTTTTGGAGGTGACAGATTTAAGACAGGATGGGGGTAAGGGGGTGCTAGGGATTTTATCCAGTGAGTCTCGCACCAAGCTACATGCCCAGCCTTTAGTTTCTGGAGACAATACCTCACACTTCAGTTGCCCAAGTTGAGTTCAAACTTACAACCCTTCTGTAGCAGCCTCCCAGACTGCTGCGACTACCAGCCTGCAGAACCACCCCAGCTGGGCGTCAGGTACCTCAAGAGCCTTTTCCTGGGGGTCTGTTTACTACACACCGTGCCAACTCTTGCTCTTCCCTCCCTGCTACCGATCAGAAAACCAGAGCCTGGAGTAGCTGCACAAATACTGGAACACTGACCTACAGGGTACAGCTCCATCTCTTCATTTTATTTTTTGATTTGACTTTTTATGGTTTTGTTTGGGGTTTTTTGGGGGGAAGGGATTGGGGTTTTTTCTTGCCAGGGATTGAACTCAGGACCTTGATGTTTGCCAGGAAAGCGCTTATTCTACTGAGATAATCTCCCTAGCCCTCATTTTTTTTTTTTTTTTGGCAGAACCAGGGATTGAACTCAGGGCCTTGCACTTGCCAGGGAAGCGCTTATTCCACTGAGCCATCTCCCCTGCCCTCCTCATTTTATTTTTGAGACAAGTTTTCATTAAATTATCCAGGCTGGCCTCAAACTTGTGATCTTCCTGCCTCAGCCTCCAAAGTGACTGGGAGTTAATCGTGCTCCATCTCACCTGGCAGCATAAAAACTCCTGATTACTTTAGACCTACAGTCACCATTTTACCTCTATATTAAGTATGTTCTAGATCAGCTGACTCACAGCAAGCTTTCGTTAGTAACACAAAATCCATTAATCATTTTTCTCAAAAATGTGTAATTACCACATTTGTAATAATCTTTTTTTTTTTTTTTTTTTTTTTTTGTGGAACCAGGGATTGAACTCAGGCCCTTACGCTTGCCAGGCAAGCACTTATTCTACTAAACAATCTCCCTGGCCCTGTAATAATCTTAAGAAAAAAAACAAAACTATACTTACTTTCAGTTTTCCTCTATTAAATGCACACACAGAAACTTGATAGGCAGAATGTCCCATGTCTACAAAAACTACATTTCTTGGTTTCTCTTCTAAGGCAGGAAGATCTTGTTTATAAATTCCATATGCAAGAGCAACTATATGAGGAAAACAACACAATGGTAGCATTTAGGTAATAAACTTTTTTTTTTCTTTTTTTTTTTTTTGGCAGAACCAGGGATTAAACTCAGACCCTTGCGCTTGCCAGGCAAGCGCTTATTCTACTGAGCTATCTCCCTGGCCCCAACAATTTACTTAAGAACTAAAAAGAAGTTATACAAATAGGTCTAGAATTGTATTATGTGTTATGTCTTAAATAGAATCAAATTCTTTTTCTTGTTTTGTTTGCCAGAGTCTTGCTATAGTACAGGCTGGCCTCAAACTCACAGGGATCCTCCTACCTCAGCCTCCTGGGTGCTGGGATTATAGGCGTGTGCCACCAGGGCTGGCTTTCTTTTCCCCTTTAACTAAATTCTTTATAAACACTGTACAATTTATTCTCAGGAACAGTAACTACAAAGAGGTAAATGCAGTTAAACGGAAGACCCAATGCTATTATGGGCTACTGGACTCTTTTAGAATATTTTGCTGAGTTTACATACCTGTAATATTCAATAACGGAACTTAGAAAAAATGGGGTATACAGATGAATGTCCATTTTGTATCTGTGTATTCAAAGAGGTTGGGACAGATATATAGTTGCATTCTCTTATTGAATAGAATGATTTGTTCTAATGGTGTTTGTAAATAGGATCACAAGTCCGCATCTTGTACAGCAATTAACCACTAAGAAGAATATATGCAGTGTATTATTTGTTGAAACTGTACTTCTGATTTGATTTGAAACTGTCTCATTGCTGTTTATCAATAAAACTTTGGGAAAAAAAAAAAAAAAAGAGGTAAATGCTGGGGGTCAGCCTTCCTTATAATTTCCCATGAACTGGCATACTTCTCCAGAAACCAATTCTCCCACTCTCCAGACAGACCTTCCTCCATTTCTTCACCCTGCGACAGGTCACATTCCTACATGTCCAATCCCCGACATGCTTGCTACTTTACACCCCAGTGCACCTGTCCGCGAGATAAAAGGACAGCACTGCAAGTAAAGCACTGCTGCACACACAGAAAGTGTGTTCCCTTCCAAGTAAGCATGAGATTAAGCACCAAAGTATATGCTGCAGGTTGATAGAAGTACCAGAGATTAACTCCTCACATGGCACAGGATCCCAGAACACTACGACCAACAAGATATAAACAAGGATAGCAGCCTGCCAGACAAAAGAAGGAGCAAGAAACTTAGTGTAAGATCCTATACCCTCAATGTCAGTCGAAGGAGTAAAAGCGTGCAGTCCCATCTCACCTGCAGTGGTTTCATTCATTAATCGCAGGCAATTGAGACCGGCAATCTGTGTTGCATCCATCACTGATCGTCTTTCTGCATCAGTATAGAAGCAGGGAACCTACAAACACATTCTCAGTTTACCGCATAACGAACATCATCTTATCAGTAAAACCCGAACGTATTTCAACCATCAGAAAAAGTTACAATATTCAATGCTGGTTGTGGGGCAAATACTAGCTATACACATTTCCTTTCATTACATAGATGATCTTAATTACAAGATCACAAGTTATATTAATATGAAAACCAGGGACTACTGTCCTTAGAAAGGTCTGCTTGCAGAATTTGCCCTTGCGTGACACTGAAGCATTCCACTGGCATCTAGAAGCTTGTCAATAAAGAGTTGCTTAGATCCCTAACTGGTTAAGAATTTGCCTTTGCCTAAAACGTGACCCAATCAAGAGGAAGGCCAGGGCTGCATAAATCTGGTATCATCCTATGAACTGGCTTGGCATATTCCACACCTCTCCACCCATACCCCTCTGTCCAGGCTGTTTTTTCCATTGTCTAATTAACAGGGTTTCACCTTCACAAAGGGCAATTCTGGGCCAGGGAGATAGCTCAGTGAATAAGCACTTGCCGCCAAGCGCAAGGTCCTGAGTTCAATCCCTGGTACCACCAAAAACAATAACAATAACAACAAAAGGTAATTCTATCACCTTGTCTGTGAAGCACTATAAACCTATTCTTAAATGCCTCACTCTGACCCATCCATGGCTTCCCAAGTAAGTACCTGTAGCATTTTGCATTCATAGCTTGCTTATTAAGAACACTGAGGGGTTGGGGAGATAGCTCAGTGGCCTAAAATCCTGCCTGGCAAGTGCAAGGTACCAAGTTCAATCCCCAGTACCGAAAAAAAAAAAAGTGACGCAATCAATGTAGCTTATGGTGAAGACCTATTCTTCTGGGAGTCTAGAAATTTGGCATTTTCTGAGTACAGGGCACCTATGTTACTAACCTCCAAAATGAAAACTCTAAGCTTCTCAACTCAGGCACAATTTTCCTAGTAGGAGACTTTGCACACACATTCCACACCTTGCTGCTAGAGGGACTCCAGACACTATGCCTGACTCCGGAAGGCCTGTGTCTCACTTTCTCCTGGAGCTGTGTAACAGTACCTTTTCCTTCCTAATTTTATTCTATGTCCTTACCTTGTGTCCAGCTACACGCCCAAACTTCCTAGCAAAAGACTAAGAATTCTGAGTGGTCTTCAGGACCTCCACACAGCACTCAATACTTTTTTTTTCTTTTGCGAAACTGGGTATTGAACTCAGGCCCTTGCACTTGCCAGGCAAGCGCTTTTTCTAATGAGCTATCTCTCCAGCCCCCTCAATGCATTTTTCCACCAGAGAATCCCCTGGGCATTCCACTATGTCACATCAAGTTTACTTCAACATCATTCAGGTGAGATCAGGAGCATTCAGGGTGCTGTGGCCTCAACAATTTCAGCATCATTCAAGACCAGATTAAGGGCATGATGTGAAGAAATGGGGACAAAGCAAAGGCGTGAACAGGTGAGCTCACTTCCCACTGTCAGGCACTGAGGAATCCAAGTCACTGACTCCACGCTTGACACACAGTACACAAAAATGGAGACAAAAGCCATTTACACTCAAGATCACTCAACTAATACAAACTAGTTGCCCTGTGCTAAGTATGGTAAGGTACTAAAACAAATCTAGGGGCCAGGCGTGGTGGCGCACACCTGTAATCTCAGCATTCTACAAGCTGAAGCAGGAGGATCACCACAAGTTCAAGGCCAGCATGGGCTACAGAGTGGGTTCAAGGCCAACCTTGGCAGTTCAATGGAACCCTGTCTCAAAAGTACAAAAATGATGGGGACGGGGAGATGGCTCAGTAAAATAAGCACTTCCCTGGCAAGCGCAAGGGCCTGAGTTTAATCCCCGGTTCC